TAAGATATTCTTTGCTGGTTTAGCAAACTTATGAGGAAGGTGAATACATAAAAAGTGCTATCAATCAAAACCTTATTAAGACCACTTTAACCAGGTTGAAGGCAGAGACAGAGACATTGAGAGAGTGGGAAGGGAAAGGGAGGAGGAGAGGGAGGGGGAGGGGGAAAGAAAGAGGAGGAGAGAGGGAGAGAGGGAGGTAGAAATGATGGGAGAAAGAGGGAAAGGAGAGGAGAGGAGAGGAGAGGAGAGGAGAGGGAGAGAGGGAGGGAGAGAGAGAGAGAGAGAGAGAGAGAGAGAGAGAGAGAGAGAGAGAGAGACTGAATAGGAATCTGTCACATGACTACCCCCAATGAATAGGAAAAATCTTTCATCTTTTGGGGGGTTTAGAGTTCAGTTTTATCTTGTGCTGTTTCTGGGGATCAATTTGATTGCTAACTGCCTAGCGAAATGTCCAGGTTGGAATCTGTGTGCAAAATGACAAGCCTGCAGTATCCTGGCACATGTAACTACTGTGTATGGTTCAGAGGTCTTAGCAAGCAAAAGCTAGGTGTAGCTTTACTCCTCTAGGCAAAGGCTGGTGAGTTATAAAAGTAGTTTGCATTAGCATGTACATACTTCAGTTTGGGACCAATGTGTAACACATCTATAGTCTTATAAGGAGATTGTATTGGTCACTAGATAGACCCATTGACACCAGGCAGAGTTTTCTGATAGTTTTTGTGAACTTAATATGATTTTGCTGTAGAAAAAAATTACAAGTCTTTTCGGTAGGTGAGTGTAATAAAAGTTTCCAAGAGGACACCCGTGCAATTCTTGAGCATGAAAGATGAAAATTTGAAGCTTTGTACAAAAGCAGCAGTGGTAGCAGCATCCTGAGACCAACTCAGACTAATCTGGTTTAAGCTCCAAATATGACCTACACATTAAAAGTGGCAGAATCCGATGGCGGCTAGTGAGGAATTTTCTTCCACTTGTTCTAAATCCTGGAGCCTTTACAATCTCATCTATCATGAGGGAGGAAGTGTTTCTGACCATATCTTGGAGAAATCACATGTGTTTATGTAGGGCTAACGAATAAACAAAGATTTGTGCTCCCTCTACTGGCTCCCTATAGCAATATTAAAGTAGACAGGAACAAAAACAGTGTTGGCATCTTCAGCAAATACAGTTACTTCTTGTATGTGGAGAGGAACCACCCATTTAACTTGGTCTTAGACATTCTTTGAGAAAAATCCATCCTTATCAACATCTGACTAAGGTATTTGGAAATTCTTAAAATTAGATATTAAGTTAGACATACCTATAGTCCTCAACTACTAAATTGCTAGCCGTGACTGTAATAATGATTGGGGATCATTCAACAACAGGCACAAGTAGATTCCTCCAAGATTTTAAGGTCCAGACACAATTTTTAAAGCAGTTCTGGAAAAAAAAAAACCTCAAGTCCATGCTAAAGTTTGTGTTTTCTCCTTTTGTTTTATAAGAACAGCTTCCCAAAAGTAAAGATTTACACTATTTATATCCTTTCCGATAATGTCAAACATTAGACTTGATTTTCCAAATCATTAGCATGCAGGAGAATGACCTCATGGTGAACAGATGCACTTGGCTGTGAGCTGCAGTGATTACATCAGTCCCTCCCAGCAGTTGAGGGTGCCCATTCCAGTTAACCCTTTAAAGGCCTCCCTGCTGGCCCCCCTTCCTTGGAAATATGCTTGAAAATACACACTTAGTTCCTTACCACAATGTGTGTGTGTGTGTGTGTGTGTGTGTGTGTGTGTGTGTGTGTGTGTGTGTGTTAAATGCAGCCAATATTTTAACACTGGCTACCATTTAGAAACCACTAATCAATAAGGAAGAAATCAAAAGGAATGCAAATTACAGAGCTAGGTAAAAAAAAAAGCAGCTCAAATACCTATAATACAGTGGGCATTATCAAAACAACTAATGGACGGAATACACATGAGGTAGGTGGTATTTTAAAATAACATTTCTAGACTGGGAAAATAGGTGTTTTGAAAACACCTCTTTTAGAAAAGCTGAGCACTCACCTATTAGCCTAACAACGAAAGGACCCTGCATCTCATGTGTGGTTGGCAGTGAATCATGAATAGAGGCACATTTAGCTGGCCGCTGTGATGCTCCACGGCTGCCTTGGGTGATGAGCAACAGCACTGGGGCAGGGACAGTTTGAAGAGAGAGTGTTTTCCAACACTGATCTCTGTGGGCACAGGCTACTCCCACTTAGCATATCTCTTACAGCTCAGACTTAAATGCTGATATTAGAGTCCTTCCCTCTAGAAATGGGGGCTGCTTGCTGCTACAAAGCAGAGTTCAGGTTACTCTCCCTCTGTGTTAACAAAGCTCCTTGTTTCACGGCTACAAAGAGAACCTGGGAGCCCCTAATTCCTCAGATTGTGCATATGCATGTGAGCAGGAGCCCAAGGCCCGGCTTTGATGGCACTGCTGTCCAGGACTGTCTGATTGGGTCCTAAGTGCACTGTGGGAGCTTAAGCTGCTCAGGGTCAATTTTTCCAGTTGGCTTGTCACTCGGAAGGGCAGACTTTACCTCAATTTCTTAGTTGAAGCTGGCTGGCTCATCTGGGTTTGACTGCACTTATCCCAAGGAAATAAAAAACACTGTGAATAAGTGGAAAGTGTTTTTATCTGTAAAAGTGGCAACAGACTGGGGTAAGGATTCCTCAAAAGCAGAACTGGCATGTACATGAGAAGAGGATTTGGTTCTGAAAATGCCTCTACGTGGTATGAAAACACTCTGCCCTCACTGCATTACCCCCAAATTTCAGTTCAAATCAAGTTCATTTCTAGTTCCTTCCTAATCACTGTTGTGGGCAGATAGGCAAACAGAGACTGTTATGCCTAGACTTAAAATCTCATTCATGGACTGGAGTGATATCCACATAAAAATTTTTATCACTCAACACTGAATACCCTAAACCCAGAACATTATGAAATGTGATACTGATGCTAATAATTTGAAAAGAGGAAAACCCAGCATTTATCTTGATGTCCCATCTTTGGTTTCATGTTCCTTTTGTACAGGTTCCAATGCTCACCTTACGAGCTGTCAGAATATTTATCTGTTAAGTGATTTTGGCAAATGCAATGTTCTTGGAGAAGCCTGTCAGCAATCGTCTCCAAATAGCAGGTCTTAAAAAACCCAAATTATTCCTAGAGTCTCACTTAAGATGTTACCTACACACTGATTAATTTGAATTGGCTTAAATAATTTTAAGCTTTTGGAAAAAAATCAAATGAATTTATATACAGGCTAAAATATACCTAGAATATAAAGTTCATCAATATTTGTTTTAATAATCAAGAGCTTTAAAAATGTAACAATTGAGTTGATGAATGTAAATATCTAGTGGTTAGTTTCTTTTAATTGTAGGGAAAAAAAGCTTTCTCAAGAATTAAAAAAACACAAAAAACACAGCATTGAAATATAAGTCCCAAAACATCATGAGGCTGGAAATAGCAGAATGATGATCTTTAAAAAAAATTAGCTTTGCTATAGATCCTTCATAGTCTTTCATGTAAAAATTAGAAACAATTTTAAACCTCTCATTAGACTAGGTATGAAATCTTCATTTCCCTCGAAACTGATTTTTTTGGGGAGAGGGATTTAGATAGAACGTTGGCAGAGTGTATAAAATAATTCAATTCACAGCTGTTCTACTTTTTTAATGTAAGAAACATTAATCAAAGCTTTAAGTTATAAGCTTTTTTCATGTTGTTTAGTATTCCAGTTCAACAAAGATCAATAGAGGCCATTCCTGTGTTTCTTGACGCCTCACCAGGAAGCAGAGGCGTGATTATGTAAATCACCGGCACGGTACCTCCGCCAGCTTGCTTATCTCCCAGGCCTTCTGCCTGCTGCTCCTGGCTCCCTGTGCAAGTGCAAGCCTCTCCCTCTTATCTCCCAACAAAGCTGGGAGAGGCAAGGATTGAAGCCAGCAATGTTAAACAATGATGCATGGCTGATTTTGTTTGTAAGTGATTTATTTCAATGAATTTAATTTTTTTCACTTTGTGTGTAAGATATTTGTTAACAATTCAGAATAGGAGAAGTAAGGCGGTGTTCAGAGACAATTGACACAGGTTAGAAATCTATTAAGCACTCTAACAGTTGTGTCTACACCAGTGGAAGAAGAAGGAAGCCTCTCATTGAGAATTTCAACATGAATTGACTAGATAGCTCATTTACTCTCTGAATGGCAATTAATCTGTAATTACATGCAGAAATTTACAAGAAATTCTATTCTAAAAAAACCCCTCACAGAGTCATATAATCTGTTTAAGTGGCAGTACACTTTTTTTTTCCAAATTGGAAATATAAAAAGAGTAAAACCTGAAAACAAGAACATTCATGGAAATTTTCCATTGTCCAGTAAATGAAGATGATTGTAAGCCAGTTTCTAAACAGGTTCCATACCAGGTGCTGCTCCGGGCAGTGGCAGGTCCATGTGACACAGGCCACTCCAGAGAGAAAGCTCGTATGCTGCACTGCTGTAATGATGGACGAGGGGACACTGCCCTTCCATTTCTTCTGCATTAATCCCTGACACGAGTATCTCAGTAGCATAATCCCCATTTAGCATTAGTAGCAACGGCTTCGACTGTGAGGAACTCTTTTTTGATAAGTAAGCACTGATTCGGGCACTGCTTTTAAACAACATATTCCCAGCTCAGCAAGAAATCCACACTCCTGAATGAACCAGAGCACATTACTGAGAAAAAGTTCATTAACCTTGCTACATTCGGAGGTTAACAGGATAGCTGAAGAAAAGGACTGAGTGAACAGCTCGGGTACAAAACAAATTAAAATGACTGTCATCATTCCTTTTGATATTCATTAGTTGATTCTGAGGGAGAATGTTCTTCTTAAATTTGCAAGCATTTATCTGTGAAAAACAGGTGTACATCTGCTGCTCAAGTGCGTCTTAAGCGCGTGAAGGAAGAATAATGTAGACACTCACCCGTTCCACTGAGGGAGTAGCTGGGAGAGGGAGAAAAGACTTGGGCTGCAAAATCCTCAAATGTCATTACTTCGCGGTGGTTCTGAATTATTGCTTCCAGATACAGAGCTCGCTCTTCATAGCTGCAGTAATCGGTTAAGGAAACAAGTGTGTGTGCAGAATGACGCACATAACAACGACATAGTTCACTTCGTTTTAAATATAGTTATGCAACTTTTACGCTGTGTGGGGCAAAAGTACCTTGCAAGTTCGTTAACATCCTATCATAGAATTAAATATTAGTCATAATTAATGATCAAATTCTGATTTTGAAATCTAAGTTTCTCAGATTTTAATTGCATCCAACACTAGTATCACTAAAAATTATATACACCAATAGCTACAGAATCACATCAAAAGATCATTAAGACTGAGTCAAACAAAAACAGACACATTGATTATTGACGGCATCTCTTCTCACTGACAACTGTGGGACACCACCAGATCTACCCTTCCTAGTTCAGTTGATAAAATGTTCTCGGCCTACTGACAAAATGATTTGCTGCTTCAAGCAAGACTTAGTGATAAGATGGTGTACAGACTTTTAAAAAATAAGCAGATGGGGCCGGCCGAGGGGCGCGATGGTTGAGAACTGGCTTATTAGGACGCCAGGGGGCCCTGGTTCGGATCCCACATGAGGGCCCCCCAATTCCCCAATAAAAATCTTTAAAAAAAAATAAGCAGATGCATACCACCGGGAAGAGGGAAGGCCAGGGGATATGCTCTGAAGGGGCACCAGAGCCGAAAGTCAAGATAGGTTATGAGCATGAGAAAATAAGAACTAATAAGTTGGAGAATCTAGCAGAGAATGCATAAGGCAATAATTAAAAAAAAAAAGAGTATTGATTTTAATTAAAACTGCAGTTTGGAACACACACATTCAAATATGTAATCAAAAACCAGTCACCAATAAAACTTACAAGCATAACACGCTGAAGCAACTTTCCAGCTGTCTTAATAGGACCCCTGCGTGTGGCAGCCTTTCACAGGGCAGAAAGCAAATCTTCCCCTTTTGTGTGGCTTCTGTTTCCTCAGAAGGTGAATCATGCACTTCCAATAACAGGATAACGTCAGAACAATTTGACAGCAGACGGTGGCACCACACATATGACTTTATGAATTAACACTTGGGGAAGTCGGCATGATGTCTCATTTTCCTCTTCCTCATTATCAATACCAAAGTTAAAAGATGAGTTTTAGTCATTTTGACAATCATGCTAATTCTCCAGGAATATAGGGAATGGGGATCACCATCAGTTTATTATCTGTAGCGCCAGAAGAACAAAAGTAATTCTAGCATTCTCACTATATTTTAAAACTATCTTTTCAAAATGGTCTCTTTAAAAATATAAGTTGGTACAATTATGCCCTTCCAATTAGCTTTCAACAAAGCACGTGTTTTAAAATAAGGAAGGGTTTTTCTGTGTTCTTTCGGCAAAGCATGCACACTGGCGGCTCAGCGCGGCTCCTCCTCCGCCTCCTCCTCCTCCAGTTACAGTCAAAGGGAGATTTTCACACCAGAGGAGACCGAAGGCATTCTAGGGCTGCGTTGCCCACTACAGCAGCCACGAGTCACATGCAGCCATCTAAATTTACATTTAAATTAATTAAAATTAAAAAATAGAAATTCAATTCCTCTGTCCCACAAGCTATATTTCAAGTACCTCAGAGCCACATGCGACTAGGGGTTACCGTCCTGGAAAGCGCTACTGGGCAGTGCTATTCCAGAAATTCTCTTTAGGCTTGCTCTATGCAACTTTAAAAAAGGAAAATAAGTTTTAAGATTTCAAAAGTGGCCTCTCTGTTGATTTATGATCTTTTGTACAGATGGTCATAACAGTCCAAGGCCTGGGCAGTGTGAGCCTGAACTGGCTTCTCGACCTTGGGCTAAGCTCCTGGTGACTCGCCTTAACTAATGAACAGGCTGCCAAACTTCCTCAGCAAGAGGCGTCCGCTCAGGCCCAATTCTAGAGGGACCCACTAATGCCATTCACATCTCATTATGAACACACTTATTCTGCACAGCACTTGGCTGTTGCCATGGCCCTCCACGCATGGCCCCAGCAAGCCGCTGGTCCGGGGAACAGCAGGACGTTAGGCCTGAGTGGCCGTCTGGCGAACAGGCACTCTGACACTAAGCTGGCACGTGCTGGCCCAGCAGGGGCCGAGTGAGGCGTGACAAATTACTCAAAGAGCTAAGCTAAACTTACGGCTGACAACCACCTGAGCCTTCGGACAGCGGTGGCCCACTGTCAACGCTCAATTCATGGCACCCGTTTTCAGACCACTGGCTGCTTTGTGGGCCTGGGTTAGAGCAGGCACATCCCTCTAAAGACCTGTCATGCTCTGCCTAGAATTGTCCTGCTGTTTCCTGAAAGGCCCCACTGAGTTCAACACATCCACATATAGTGCTTGGGACAATGGTGGACAAAACAGAAATGCGAATGCATTTTGCTAAATATGCTATCTGGAAGAGTGGCTGCTATGTTAATCAACCTCACAGTCAAACCTACAAAGGGATGCTGAGTATAATACCATATAAATTGACCCCAAACAGCAGCCTGTCATCCTCATCTGGTATGACACTATCCGATTGTCATAAACTTGTCCTTGTCAAGGCTGAGAGATCTGGGCTCCTAAGAGCAAATCCAGCATAAGAGCTCCAGGGGCAATAACCAAGTTGTGAGATTCTCTGATTCAATGAATGTTTATGGTCTGATTCCTAAATTAAGGCACCAAGGGAGACAGAGAGCACAAAAAGGTGCTTCTAGAACTGGGTACCTAGAGGAGCTTACTTCATTGAAGGTTCCTGATCTCACCATTTATGCTCCAAACTGTCACACGCAGCACACACTCCCCCACCCCCAGGCCGGTCCTATGCTGCTGCTGAAGCATTAACAGCACTAAACTGGCTGTTGTCATCTAGACAAACATTCATTAGGGACTGGGGTGAGACCAGGAGATCATCAAATGCATTTTCACTCATGGCCCAAGCCAGGGCATATAAACACCATGACAAAGAGAAAACAAACATCACCCCAATTCTGGCAGTGTTTACAAACAGCCAAGGAGCTCACGGGTGCTAAAAGTCATTTCTTTTAGAAGCTTTAAAAAACTGTACATCTGGGATCTTAACTGAATTTATTAGTAGAATTACTAGCAAAGGCAATTAGGAGCAGTATCTTCTGACATTTTCTTACCTAACATCTTTAGGGCTTCAATGCTGGTTGCTTTCTATTTAAAAAAAAAAAAGGCATTTATAATTTAGATATCAAAAGGCATATAAGGATCTTATCATGCGTAAGACATGTTAAGATGTGAACTGAATGCTGAAATAATGCTGGGCAGTGGATGGGCAGTGGTGACCTTTGACTGAAAGCAGGTGGCTAAAGGGGCACCTGGTCATAAATCCAATTCTCATTTCAATGCTAACCATTGGCCTTTTATTCTCTTAAAAAGACCACTAACAAATGTGAAATTTAAATTCTGTTCAATCTCACTAAAAACCACACACAGTAAAGTACTTTCTTAACAAGCAATTTTCCCCTTAATTATTCAATTCAGAGAACATTTTGCAAAGATTCTTACTCAAATAAGTTAGCATTCCCAGGTTCTGGGACTAGGATGTGGACATATCTTTTTTGGGGGTCACCATTTAGCCCACTGCGCAACTTGAGGACACTGTATGAGTCAGGTTCATCCTTACACCACTTGTACTCTGTAACTTATTGAATGGATACATGAATGCCTAGGATTTATGCCCATTGCTCTAGGCTATGATACTGCTAGATATAGTGTAGGCAAAGGGAGAATGTAAGGAGATGTTAGAGAGTTTTCAATTTGAAGTAAAATTCTGCAGAGATAAAAACAAAGAAGTTACACAAAACTTCTAAAAGAAAGTATGGGGCACACTCTTTATGACCTTGGGACGTGGAATGATTTATTAAACAAAGAACAAAAACACCTTAACATAAGAAAGACTGGTACATCTGGCACATTCAAATTAAGAAGTACTGTTCACCATAGTACCATGAAGAAAGTCAAGCTGCAAGGCACAATGCGGGAGAAGGCATCTATAACATAACTGACCAACCTAGTGTCCAGAATATATAAAGAACCCCTACAAATCAAAAAAATCCAAATGATCTACTAGAAAAAAGGGCAAGACATAAGCATTTCCAGAAGATAAACTATGAATGGACATGAGGATACTCAAGATCATTAATAATCAGGGGTTATTAGAGCCACAATGAGATACCATTTTGTATGTACCAGATTGGCAAAACAAAAAATTTAATATTACCAAATGTCAGACAGGACATGGGGCATAGGCACTCTCAGAGCCTACTGGTGGGAGATAATTAGCCCAACTTTCCCAGAAGGTAATTTGACATTATCCAGGAAAGGGCAGATATGCTGACTCTGTGGGCCAGAAATCCCACATGTAAGAATATTTATAATGTTCTATAGACAATAGCAAAAAGAAGAAAAAAAAGAAAAATAGTTTTTAACTTTTACTGATAAATGCAGCCAAAAGTGGAATACTACAAAGCACTGAAAATAAACTACAGGTATGTGTAATAGTATGGATAAAACTTAAAACAATGTTCAACGAAAAAAGCAAGTCACTGAAGAACATGTGAAATTCTACTTACATAAATTTAAAAACCAGAAAAAATGAAAAACATTGCCTAGAGATACACATGTAATACAATGAAAATAAAACCAGAATTATCTCTGGGGTGGGGAGCAAGTAGCACATGAGGGGGTCTCAGATATATTGGTTGGTACACATGGAGGTCAGTAAAAGGACTTGTTTTATTATTCTTCAGAATTTATATAAATGTTATATGTTTTCTAGTATGTATAAAATATTTCATAGTAAAAATAAGCAATATGGTGAGAGTGGAAAATAGCACTAATCAAGTGGATCTTTACTCACTCATTAGGACAGAATGAGCTTCTTCAAGCCAAAGGTGGATATAAAAGGTATAAGTTTGGTTATTAGATACATAGTAACAATGATAGAAAAGTCCATTTGGTTCAAACACAGAAAAAGCAGAAAACAGGCAGTGCTATTTTG